AGCTATAATACAGAAAAATCCATTTGAAAATCAGTCAACTGTATATCTATTCGTATGTTTTCTTTTTTTCTTTGTAGTGTTAAATGCCACTATGTTGTCAATGAAAAGACAAATACATGCTCTTTCTGTAGCAGCACTAACTCCTTAGATGCGGATGCTGTGCCAATGTTTGCCAGCTTTGATTTACTAGTTGATCTAACTGACCATACAGGAACGCTTCACTTTTGCAGTCTCTCAGATATAATAGCTGAAGAAACTTTAGGTCACACGGTAAGAACATAGGAAATAGTTTTCTACTACTTGAATGTATTCTTTTAGGTTTGTTATGCCAGTAAAATTCCTGGAAACTCTCATCAATAATGTTTGGGGCCAATTCAGAATTTATAGATACCAAAATGTTTGTACAGTAAATCTGCTGCAGTTAATGAAGTAGGCACCATTCTATTAAAAGCTATTCCAGCTTAAATTTACTAAGCACCTATGATATCAAGGGCATCACTAGTTATCACAAGTTTGATATCAAAAAACTTCATTAGAGCCAGTTTGGCCTAATGGTTACGGCACCAGGCTAATATCTATTAAGGGCATACTACAGCAATCAATTGGATATAAATAATTTACTCCTGGGATAGCATTTATAGTGAAGTAATAATTACAGATGTTTTAATAATTTTGATTCATTTTGATGTATTTTCTTTCCAGACAAATTGTGAAAATTGCATTTACTGCGTTATTTGCCCTGCAGAAAATTTAGCTTTCTGATCATTATACCACATTTTGGACAGGAACATTTTATTGTTGAATTAGGTTTGATTGCAGACTTAAGTGTAGTTTTAACGAACTGAATTGCGATCACTCCACCAGGTCCAAGAATTTCAAGCTCTGACAGAAACACAAAAGACAACATTAAAATGGCAACTCCTTCTAGAGAGAAGCAAAATTTATTTTAAGGTAAGTATAATAAATAATAATAAAGCATGATAAAATTTCATAAAAGAGACAGTTTGGTGTAGTGGTTAAGAGGCTGATCTAGAAACTAGAAGACTGAATTCTAGGCCTTCTTTAGCTGTGAAAGTCAGCTGGTGAGCCATTCACTCCCAATCCACTTCATGCAGGTTGTTGTGAAGAAACAGGAGGCAGGAATATTAAGGATGTTTGCTGCTATGTTATATATATCTAATAATAGAATAATAACAATAGTAGTAGTAATAGAATAAAGTGCAGATTGTGCAAAGAAGCAGAGGAAATAGATCATATACTCAGCTCATGTAAGAAGATTGCACAAACTGATTATAAATAACATCACAGTTAACCAAAATGATTCACTGGAACATCTGTAAAAATTATCAGGTTCCAGTACAAGTAATCCTCAACTTAGGATCACAACTGAGCCGAAAATTTCTGTTGCCAAGCAAGACAGTTAGGTCTTGCTCTGTTTTACAACTTTTCTTGCCATAGTTGTTAAGTGAATCGCTACAGTTCTTAATAACATGGTTACTGAGTGAATCTGGCTTCCCCATTGACTTTGCTTGTTAGAAGGTTGCAAAAGGGGATCACATGACCTTGGGACACTGCAACCATCATAAATACGATCCCGTTGTCAAGCATCCAAATTTTGATCACACGACCTTGGAAATGCTGCAAAGGTCATGTGAAAAATGGTCATTAAGTCACTTTTTTCAGTGCCGTTGTAAGTCTGAACGGTCACTAAACAAATAGTTGTAAGTCGAAGATTATTTGCATGATATCCTAAGAGGAGTGTCAAACTGGCAGCCCACAGGCCAGATGTGTCACATGCAGGCCACGCCCACCCTAACTCCACAAAGGCAAAAAACCGCAACACGTCACGATACGTCACGTGACGCGATCGCGTTTGACACCTGTGTCCTAAGTTCTTCGGAAGAGCTTTGATGCATAGGAAAACCGACATCAGTTTAAGAAGTGGCAGCTGTGATTCCACAATCTTATGACTATAATCACACTGTAATACAGCCCTAAAGATGCCACTATTTCCCATGACTTGACCCAGTCCACTAACATCTGAAAATCCACGATCAATTTCTTCCACTGAATGAAAAACTGATCTGCAGGAAAAAAGACATTTCTACACTATTGTGGAACACGCTATCCAGAGACTTAAAAAAATATTTTTTTTTCTCAAAAACACCGTTAATACAGAATTTTTACAAATTACTAAATTCATGTTTATAACTGCTCAAATATTTTGTCGAACTTCTCTAGCAGTATAAAAATCTAGGAGATACAAATGGAACAGTGGTGGTTTCTAATAAGTACTATTTATGAAACAGTATACATAACAGTGTTCAGTCTATCGATCTAGAAATAAGGAGAAATTTTCTGACAGTGAGAACAATTAATCAGTGGCTTACCTCAGAAGTTATGGGTGCTCCATCACTGGATGTTTTTAAAAAGAAATTGGATATAGCCATTTGTCCAGAATGGTATAGGGCAGGGGTAGGCAACCTTGGCTCTTTTATGACTCATGGACTTCAATTCCCAGAATTCTGGGAGTTGAAGTCCATGAGTCATAAAAGAGCCGAGGTTGCCTACCCCTGGTATAGGGTCTTCTGCTTGAGCAGAAGGTTGGACTAGAAGACCTCTAAGATCCCTTCCAACTCTGTTCTTCTGTTACATGATCTTATGAATTTAATTAGACATGATGTTGCTGACAAAAAAAAAAAAATGAATTGAGGAGCATCAAGTGAAGTTTTTTGAGACCTGTAGAAATTTCTCTTTATATTACTCTAATTTAGCTGTGATCTCACTAATGGAAAAAATTAATACTTCATGATTAAAAGAAAAAAAAAACAGGTGGGAGGGTTAATAAAAACACAGTGCAAAAATTCCCTTTACTGTTTCTCTCCTATTTGAAAGTATACAGTATGTTTACATTCCTACAGCGTGCTTAACTGGTTCTATTAATAACATAGCAGATCCATTTGCTCATGCTAATCTTTTTAATTATTTTGATGCTTTGTATCTTATGTGAAACAAATGTCCTGGCTTACAGTTCAGTATATTGCATGTACCAGAAAAATGGGATAATTAATTAACCAGGTTAAACGTGTTGCCGAAACAGAACCATTGTATAATTTGTTTATTTATTTATTTATGAGACTTATATACCACTTTAAGTGCAAGCACTCTCTAAGCGGTGTACACCAGCAAGCAATGTATATATATATATATTTACATTGCCCCCAACAATCTGGGTCCTCATTTTACCTACCCCGGAAGGATGGAAGGCTGAGTCAACTTTGAGCCGGTGAGATTTGAACCGCTGACCTGCTGAACACAGTCAGCTAAAGTGGCCTGCAGTCCTGCACTCTAACTGCTGCGCCACCTCGGCTCTTAATTAATAAGTTTAATATTAAATATAATATCAAGTTTAGTATTATTCTTTTGTTGCAAAAAGAGGGGGAAACCTTTAAAAATTGTGGTGATTTGTACCTTTACCTCCTATAGGTTATTTTTTCTACCACAGCACGAACCGGGCTAAGAGTGAAACTGCTTTCTTGCAAGCTAGCAGATCCAGTGGAGGCTTGCCAAAACTTGCCCGAAAAAGGAAAATAACTACATTACGCACCTTCAAAACAACTGGAAGGAATTCTTATTTCATCCATAGCATGGCAAAAATGACTTCTTCAGAGGGGAATATGCACTCCATTGCAAAGGCTTGTAGAATAGACTTTATTAAGGTGGCAAGATTGTGTCTGACTTTGAAAAGTTTGTTTCACTTTCTAATTTAGTTTTCCATTATAATGTGGAAGGAATGTATGTTTTCAATATTCTTCATGAGCAAGCTTAATTTTTAATTAGCTCAGAAGGAAGAGCATTCAGGACATTCTATAGTGAGAGATGGTTCATAGCTGAGAGTTTCAACTGGGAGAAAAGCACCTTCTTCACGTGTTGTACAAGTCATGAACTTATTACGTGTAATGAAGGAGTGTCCTATCTCAGCACTTTCCCATTCCCCCCTTTAAGTCTTCAACAGGGAATCTATGACCTGCAGTTGCAAAAATGTAACTCTATTTTGTTTCATAGACAATGGGCAAGTAATAATATGAACTAACTGGCATTTATTCACAGAAACAAAAAAAAAGACAAGTTTTGGCTTCATTTCAAAGTGCTTCTTAAATCTTACCATATAAAATATAACTTTTAAACAATATAATTTGGCACAAAATCCCTTCATTACTTGGTGATGTTTTTAAGGAAGGTACATTATAACTATAGAATATAAAGTGTTTTTGCAGTCTTAAAATATATATATAGGCTTTTTTTATTTATAGTTACAGGCTGGTCTTTTCCAGACAGGCCAAAAATAGGAAATGGACAACCAATCTAGCTTCTAAACTTGAACTTGCCAAAGGAAAACAGCCCACATATCTTATCTGCACATCACAGCAAAAAAGACTCCTGTATTAGGGTCTGTTTAGCTACTCCAACTAGGCCAGGGGTAGGCTCAGGAATTCTGGGAGTTGAAGTCCACGAGCCATAAAAGAGCCAAGATTGCCTACCCCTGAACTAGGCCTAGGCCCCTTCATGACTCGTGGACTTCAACTCCCAGAATTCCTGAGCCAGCATGGGGGAACTATGGCCCCTTCATGACTCGTGGACTTCAACTCCCAGAATCCCTGAGCCACCATGGCTCAGTTTTGAAACCTCTCCCTCTCCCCTCAGCATGGCTGGCTCAGGAATTCTGGGAGTTGAAGTCCACAAGTCCTGAAGGGGCCAATGTTCCCCCCCCCATGCTGGCTGGGGAATTCTGGGAGTTGAAGTCCACGAGCCATAAAAGAGCCAAGGTTCCCCACCCCTGAACTAGGCAGTTGGTGTATGTTTGTCAACATATCGTTACATTCTGGTTTATCTCATGTGCACATAAAGCCACTGTATCTGGTACTCAGTAGTTGGGATCTCTGTGAGAGAGGAGGACATATGAGAAAGGGCAATCAATGAAGGTTCTTCTGAAAACCTCAGGGTGGGCTGGGGGGGTGGGGAAGGAATCTGGCCCTCTTTTTTTCTTCCGGACAAAAGTCCCCAAGGTGTTTTTCATCTTCATCATCATCGACTTCCACAAATCAGGGGCGGCTTTTCTGCCGCGCTACCCGAAAGTGCATTCTCAGCAGCCCCTCAATGCCGGCTTCTATTTCATCCTTCTCTCTCAGAGCAGAAACTCCTTCAGGGGAACCCGTTAAGATGATGTCCCCTTCCTCCAGGGCGACGATGCCGCTGATGTAGCTGATGATGTACGGGATGGTGAAAGTCATGTCAGATGTGTTCCCTTCTTGGCGCAACTCTCCGTTTACCTTTAGCCAGATCTTCAGCTGATGTGGATCTGGGACTTTCTCCTTGGGCACAAAGTCGCTCACTGGACAGGAGGTGCTGAATCCTTTGGCCAGAGTCCAGGGGAGGCCTTCCTTCTTGCACTTTTCCTGGACGTCCCTGGCTGTCATGTCCAGGCAGAGCGCGTAGCCGGCCACGTGGCCCATGGCTGCTTCCTGAGGCACGGCCTGGGCTCTCTTCCCAATCACCACGCCCAGTTCCACTTCGTGGTGCAGCTTCTCACAATAGTAGGGCTGGAGGATGGGGCTGCCTTCCCTGACGTAGGCCGAGGAGGGCTTCAGGAAGAAGAGCGGCTCGGTGGGGAGGGCATTCTTCATCTCCTTGGCGTGGGCTGCGTAATTCCTCCCCACACAGAAGATGTTTTTGCCCCATTCCCAGAACTTGCCAATAGGCTTAGAAGAAGCCATGCTGCAAGGATCAGCGCTTCAAAACAGGAAAACCTGGGGGGCAGCACTTGCTGTTTAGCTTTGCTTGAAGAGCAACAATTTCTCCACGCAGGAATTTGGATCCTTATTTTCAGGCTGGGGGAAGAAAATGAGTAATTTAAAGGGTTTGTTCTTTTTTTCCCATACAGCTTGGTTTTGGTTTTTGCTTAAACATTCTACACACAGATCACTTATTTCTTTGCCAGATTATATGGAATGGAGTAGAGTAGAATAGAGTAGAATATAGAATAGAATAGAATAGAATAGAATAGAATAGAATAGAATAGAATAGAATAGAATAGAATAGAATAGAAAATGAATAGAACAGAACAGAACATAATAGAACATAATAGCAGAACAGAATAGAATAGAATATTCTTTATTGGCCAGGTGTGATTGGACACACAAGGAATTAGAAAAAACTCAAGCTGGCCTACATTAAAAATGCAACAAAAGTAATCAGAATACCAAAGGTACAAAATGAAATGATGCTATGGGGACTGATCATTGGTGAAAGAGTGTGCAGTTTTGGATACAGAAAGTGTGTGCTGTTTCTGTGCCGGCATCAGCTTTTTGGAACACCAATCCCCCCAAGATTCATTTCGCCCTGACCATAAAGATTCTTCTGGAGCCTGAAAACTTGGATGTCTTCCTGGGCAGGAAGGTCAGATTCTTAGCTGGAGCCTGTGAGGTTGTTTTAAAGGCCAACAAGGATGGGCCAAACAAGAGATAGATGGTCCTGGGGTTTTCAAACTTTTCAGGCTGGGGAATCCCTGATCAAGAAACAAGGGTCTAATGACAGAAAATGTGCTATATTCAAGGATTTGTGTGTGTGTGTGTGTGTGTTTGCTGCTGTTTTGTCCTTAGCCCCTAATGAAACCTACAGTTTTTGCAAAACTCTAGAACTCCATGGGACACAATTAAAAAAAACCCTCAATATAACCAGAACAAGTCAATTCCTTGTCTTTTGCAACTTAAAACAATTGCTACAGTCATCTAGAAAAGCAGGAATATGGATGAAATCCAGGTTCCTGCTCTTTCATGGTATATCTTATTCAGCAATTGCCTTCTAACATCTGGATTTGCAGAACAACCATCCTAATTGCAAACTACTGATGCTTCTGGCAGAAATCAACATTGCTACCAGCAGAGTCAGGTAACAGTGATCCTGTAACATTAATAACATAATTATCTTTTCCAAGTTGCTTGATTGCATTCAAACCACTTACCATATAGTACATTATTACGTATTACTCTATACCAGCAATAATTTGTCCGCACAACTACAGCATTAAGCCTAAAAATACATATTATGCTTCCTATGCCTTCCAGCATAATTTTTATATACCGTAGGCAGAATTGTTTAATGCTTCAGGAAAAAAGACAGATATTCCCCACTATTGCAAAAAAGGCTTTTTTGCCTACTTTTTTCATTTGCTGAAAATTATTATCTTGAAGCAAGAGAAAAGCCTCCAGATGATCTTCTCCCTCTGGGATTGAACTCTGCACCTCAAGACAGCCTTCCTGCATTTGGTCACTGATTAATGATTCTAATTAGGTCAGTTTGGACTCAGATTTTCTGGGGAACGTCCCTATTTCAACAGCGATTGAAAGCCTGATGTAAAATTGCAGAGGAAAATTTAACCCAGGGGTAGGCAACCTTGGCTCTTTTATGACTCCTGGACTTCAGCTCCCAGGAATTCTGGCTGGCTCAGGAATTCTGGGAGTTGAAGTCCAGGCGTCATAAAAGAGCCAAGGTTGCCTACCCCTGATCTAACCAAACTTTGTGAAGCTGATTGCTAAATAAAGGAGGAAGCGGGGATTGGCCCCCCTCCCCAGGCAAGGGGGCACGGGTGCGGGGCTCAGCCCCAGCCAGCCTGGCTCCCACACTCACCTTCTACCCAGCCTGACCCTCCAGCCAGAGGCTTCATTTCCAAACAGAACCGAATAATTCTTTATTGGACAAGCGTGGTTGGACACACAAGGAATGTATCTCTAGTGCAGAACTCTCAGCATACATATATACAACAAAGCGATATATACAGGTAGTTCTTGACTTACGACAGTTCCTTTAGTGACCATTCAAAGTTTCCACGGCACTGAAAAAAAAAGGGACCGATGACCATTTTTCATTCTTACGACCACGGCCAAGGGATCAACATTCGGACACTTGGCAACTGATTCCTATTTATGACGGTGGCAGCATCCCGGGAGATGCGATCCCCTTGGGTGACTTTCTGACGAAGTCAGTGGGGAAGCCAGATCTGTGTTCCTAACTGCAGAGATTCATTTAACAACTGCGAGAAAGACTCACTCAACAACGCTCCCGCTTAGCGACCAAAACGCTGGGCTCCACTGTGGCCGTAAGTCGAGGACTCCCTGCAAATCACCAGAGGCCCATATAGGAGAAGGTGGGAGGAAAGGACCAGAAGGACAATAGCACACGACGGGGGGGGTCTATTACTGGGGTAAAGAGGAGCCGGGGGAGCCCCAGAGCCGCCACTCACCTTCCCTTCCCGCCGCTTCTTCCGCAACCTGCCCTGGGCAGAAGCCCCGCCACGTAAGCCCCGCCTTGAGAGGGCGGGCCTCGCAGGCAGCGCGGCCATTGGACGGCGGCGGGGGCGTGGCGGCGGCGCGCCTGCGCCCAGGGAGCGCCCGGCGGAGCGGCTGGGGTCGGCCGCGGCGCGGGGGCTTCGGTTGCGGCGCCTCCGCTTCGGACCATGGTCTGCGCGGGCGGCGGGAGGATCGGGCCGGCTCTGCTGCTGCTGGGCGCGCTTCGGAGCGGTACGTGGCGGAGGGCGGCGGAGCCTCGGCCCGCGCAGGACGCTTCCCCGGCCGGCTCCTCTCGGGGAGGCTTCGGGCAGAGGCAGGGAGGGAGGCAGCCGGCGGGGCCGGGCGGCTTCCAGGAGATCGCAGCCCGCCGCCGGCCAGGGCCATTTGGGGCGCCCGGCTGGGCTCTGGACGCAGCGGCCGGATCCCTTTTCCCGGGAGGGCCGAGCCGGGCGGGGAAGACGCGGCGGCGGTGGCGGCGCTGGGTCGAAGTCCGGCGCGCCTCTCTGCCCTCGCCGCCTGTCCGCCCGCGGGGATCGGCCAAGCCGCCGCGCCGCAGCCCTGGCAGCCCCTCGCCGCTCAGACCTGGTGGAGGCGCTTTCCTGCCTTGCCCGGGTCCGAAGCAGGAGAAACGGCCCTTTTCGCTCTCAACGAGGCAGGTTCCCCTTGGATAAATTTCCTCCCGGTCCCGCAGTCGGGTTGATTAGCTGCTCCTGCTTCCGAAAGCGCCTCCCTTCCGTTCCTAGGAAATGGAGCGGCGGCACCTCTTGGGGGAGGCTTTGCTGGAGCCCCCCGTCCCCTCCCCCTCCCCACATGGCCTGCTGGAGAGCAGCACCCGGTTAGGCAAAAATGGAGATGGCATCGTTTTTCATTGATCAACTAACAGAATAACAAAGTTGGGGGGCTCCTTGGAGGTCATCTAGTCCAACCCCCTGCTCAAGCACATCGTTTCAGACAAGTGGCTGTCCAGTCTCTTCTTGAAAGCCTCCAATGATGAAGGAAGGAAGGAAGGAAGGAAGGAAGGAAGGAAGGAAGGAAAAAAAAAGAATAGCAGAATAACAGTTGGAAGATCCTGTAATGCAAAATCTCATTTTGGTTGATTGGGCAATAAAGACAAAATTTCTATTTCGGACTATAAAACTAGTTTTCCATCGCAGCTCAGTTTTCAAGTTGCGTGTTATTTGCCAAAGAAGCATTTTCAAAAAGATGCCACTTGCCCTTTTGACAAGTTGTTTTATACAGAAACATGCACACAAAGTTCAAAACCTTGAACCGTTGGCAGGTTTTCACCCAATGCTGACAAAACAAGTTCGATAAACTTCACAAATTCCCAGCCTGCATGGTAATGGTCCAGGATTTAAAGAGTTGTTGAGGATGATTTCAGCTGAAGTTTGCCTGTATTTCTTCTTGTAATTATTCGCACTGTTAGGTGTAATATCTTTGTTTAGATCCTGAAACCCAAAAGACGTTGTTTATGAGGAAAAAGTGGTTGCTTTGAAGGTGGCCAAGTTGCATGTTGATTAAGTTTAGGTTCCAGCTGATTCCAAGCTCTAGAGAAACATTTACATTGGCTTTCTTTCATCCGGTATCCTCCAGATGTGTCAGGAATATCAATCCCTGAATTCTCATGTGCGCTTCTGAGAATTATGGTGCTAAAAACATCAGGAGAGCACCGAGTTGAATAGAATAGAATAGAATAGAACAGAATAGAACAGAACAGAACAGAACAGAATAGAATAGAATAGAATAGAACAGAAAATAGAATAGAGCAGAAAATAGAACAGAGCAGAGGAATAGAATAGAGTAGAATAGAATAGAATAGAATAGAATAGAGAAGAGCAGAGGAATAGAATAGAACAGAATAGAATGCAACAGAAAATAGAATAGAATAGAATAGAATAGAATAGAATGAAAATAATGAAAATAATGAAAATAATGAAATAGAAATAGAACATAGAGAAACAAGGTTGAAAGGAACCTTGGAGGTCTTCTAGTCCAACCCCTTGCTCAAGCAGGAAATCCTATACCCTATAGCCATTTCATAAAATCATAGACTCACAGGGCTGGAAGGGACCTTGGAGATCTTCTAGTCCAACCCCTTGCCTAAGGCAGGAGTCCTTATTCCATCCTGGTCAAATGGCTGTCCAGTCTCTTGGTGAAAACCTCCAATGATGGAGCACCGCAACTTCTGGAGGCCAGCTGTTCCATTGATGAATCATTCTCACTGTCTCCTTTGTTCTAAGTTGGATCTGAATGATCTTCCAGCTGTTACTTCTTGTCCTGCCCTCTTCTCTGTGACAGTCCCTCAGATACTGGAAGGCTGCTATCATATCACCCTTAATCCTTCTCTTTGTTAGACTAGACATACCTAGTTCCCTCGATCATTCATCCTGTGGTTTAGCCTCCAGACCCCTTATCCTCTTTGTTGCTCTTCTCTGCACTCTTTGTCAGTCTCAACATCTTTTTCATATCATGACAACAAAACTGGAAGCAGTATCCCAAAAATGGTCTCACCGGGGCAATATAAAGCAGTACTGACACTTCCTGTGATCTTGAACTATCATCCCTCTGTTGATGCAGCCCAGGACTGCCTTGGCTTTTTGGGCAGCTGCAGCACACAGCAGGTTCCTACTTAAGAGGTGGTCCATTAGGACACACCTCACAGTTGCTACAGTTGAGCCAAGTATTGTCTATTCTATACCTGTGCATTTGGTTTTTCTTGCCTAAGTGTAAAAAAACCCCTTTTCTCACCACTGACTTGCATTTTATTAGATAGGGTCCAAGTCTGTCAAGAGCCTTCTGAATCTGACCAAAATGCTAAACCCATAAAAAACCCTCTTGAGTTAAGCTCTTGATGACTGCAGAAAAATATCTCCATGGTTTCTTTGGTAGCAGTATGGAAGTCATTTCCCCTTTTCCAAGATTTTTTTTTGACTTTCCAATCTAGCCTGAGTACTAAGCATCCCTAACCTTGCTTGGTTCTTTGAGATTAGCCAAAAACAGCTGGAGTGGTGCTGTATCTATCACGAGTGATATGCAGAATGTCTTCTGCCCTTAGCTAATCCATTTGATTACTGGATTCCTAGTATTAAATCTGTTGCCATCATATGATCAACCTGACCAACAGGTTGGTGAGAAAAGGATGGATTTCCAAGGACTGTAGATTCTTCTGCAACTAAGGGCAGTAGAATAACAGAATATTCTATTATTCTTCTGTCCTTAGCTACAGAATCTACAGTCCTTGGAAACCCATTCCTTTCCTCACCAGCCTGTTGGTTAGGTAGATCATACGGCTGACGACAACACTGGGAATCCAGTAATCAAATGGATTAGGTGATTTGCAGGAGAGGTGCCTTAAATAGTTATGGGGGATGGTGGGGGTTGTAGATCCAGAAATTCTGGGAATCGAAGACCACAAGTAATAAAAGGGCCAAGTTTGAAGACCCCTGCCCTATACCATTTCCTGTCTCTTTTGAAAGCCTCCAGTGGTGGAAGAGGGAGGGAGGGAGGGAGGGAGGGAGGGAGGGAGGGAGGAAGGAAGGAAGGAAGGAAGGAAGGAAGGAAGGAAGGAAGGAAGGAAGGAAGGAAGGAAGGAAGGAAGGAAGGAAGAATAGCAGAATAACAATTGGAAGGGACCTTGGAGGTCCTCTAGTCCAGCCCCCTGCTCAAGCAGGAGACCCTATACTATTCTAGACAACTGGCTGTCCAGTCTCTTCTTAAAAACCTCCAGGGATGGGTGGGTGGAGGGAGGGAGGGAGGGAGGGAGGGAGGAAGGAAGGAAGGAAGGAAGGAAGGAAGGAAGGAAGGAAGGAAGGAAGGAAAAAAGAATAGGAGAATAACAGTTGGAAGGGACCTTGGAGGTCCTCTAGTCCAATCCCCTGCTCAAGAAGGAGACCTTATACCATTCAAACACCTGGCTATCCAGTCTGTTCTTGAAAGCCTCCAGTGATGGAGCATCCACAACTTCTGCAGGTAAACTGTTCCACTGGTTAATTGTTCTCAGGAAATTTCACCTTAGTTCTAGGTTGCTTCTCTCCTTGATGAGTTTCCATCCGTTGCTTCTTGTCCTCCCCTCTGATGCTTTGGAGAATAGATTGACTCCCTCTTTTTCGTGGGGGTCAATCTCTTTAACCCTAAAGTTCTGAAGGTTTATTAAGACAGACATATGCTGTGATGACAAAGTCTTTTTTCGACGCTTGCCTCGGCTTTCCCTCTCCCATTACCTGCCGAGGAGAATTGCAGATCCAGCTTTTCCAGTTTGAAGTGGTGACTTTTGTCACCCAGGGAGCTTCTCACTTTCCCAGCTTCTGTATTCCTACTATGCTGCCATTGACTCTATTGGTTATTTGGACGTTGCCTAGGCCAGTGTTTCTCTACCGTGGCCACTTTTAAGATGAGTGGACTTCAACTCCCAGAATTTGAGGGGTTGGGCTCCCAGAATATAGTCCTTATATTCTGCAATGACCAGCTGTCT